TAATTGACATATAACATTATATTGTTCTGGTGTGCAACGTAATGATTTGATATGTATATGTTGCAAAATAATCACAATGAGCATTAATTAACATCCATCACCACACACAGTTACATATTTTTTTCTTGTGATAGGAACTTTTAAGATATACTCTTTTGAGTGAGAATTTAATTAAAAAAAAAATCCATGCTAATCTCCTATGTATTTTATATAGAAATTGTTGAAAATAACTTAAAATATAAACTTTCATATAAAGAGGATAGTTTTAAGTTTAGAAACTTGAAAGTCATCATGAGACTCTTTAACTTGCAGTGGCTAAACATTATAAAACAACATTTTTACCTGCTTGGCATTTTCTATATATGCGGCCATGTACTCGTAGGCAGCAGCCTGAGCATTTACTCGGGTTTCAGTGCCCTCTACAGGCAAAGCAAAACTGTCCATAATGATCATGGTTTCGCCATCCACCTTCCCCAGCATCAAGCCCATCACTTCCAGGTTGCCTCCCGATCTGGCATGCATCACCATTTTCAGTAGAGCCAATGCTGAGATTTTGCAGTACTTAAAGTAATGGTGGCTACAAAACAAAAGCACGGTGTAATTAACTTTCTTATATAAAGTACAATTTCAAGAGTTTGTGTGAAGATAATGAATATGTATTGAAGGAATTTACAGTGATGGGAGGAGGAGAAAAGAGTGTGGAATGTAGGAAAGGAAAAGGAAGTAGAAAAGGACAGAGTTCCTATAGGGGGATGGAAATGATAAACATGTCATAGTCCTGCCAAATATTTCCCTTTGGGGGAAGAGAAAAGTATGAAATCATTTTTTAATATGCTATTCAAATGGAACAGAGGTATTTACATGACCAGTTGAACAGACTTTTTCTCCATGAACTTTGGAATCACAAAATCTCTGATTCTGACTGGTTGGATGGTTGTGCCCAATTATTTTCAGGCCTATCTAACCTTCTGGCCTAGTGGTTAAGAATGTGGGTACTGACATCCATCTGCCTAGGTTTGAATCCTAGCACTGCCAAGTCCTAGTTGTGGCCTTGAGACAACCGCTTAATATCCATGCCTCAGTTTCCTCATCTGCAAATAGGGATATTTCATAAGCGTTTTTGTTAGGAGGAAATAAACTAAATGAAATAATGTACATAAAGTCCCTGACATATAGTAAACTTTTTAAATGCTAGGTATTATTAGCATTAATCTTTTATAGTACTCTCAAAGAACAGTGTGTGAGGCTTTTTTGTAGCATCAGTCTCAAAATTAAAACGTAGCCCTATTATCTTTAGTTCTATGATCACTATTTCAGAGTTTGTCATCTGTGGATGGAACTAAACTCTTGAATAAAATTACATTTTCCATCTCAGTGATGCAGCTCAAGACAGCTAGGATGAATATAATTAGAGCCACAATCAGACAGTGAGCAAAGCTGATAGTCTCCAAATATTTAAGAGGCTACATCAACCTAAAATGTACAGCCTGCTGTAGAAGCAAGCAGGCAGCCAGTCTGTATGGAGTGGTCAGTCAATGTCTCTGAGAAGCCTTTTGAAGATATTTGCCCTCAGATTTCAATCACTACGAAAAAACATGGAGACCTGGTTTTGGGAGTCAAGACATGAATTAAAATCTTGGCTCCTCCACTTACTGGGGGGGGGGAAAAAATCAAACAAACCACAGTTATTAATGTCCTATTACATACATTCTAGAACCTTTCAAATAGTTTTACATCACCAATAGATCTTATTTCCACTGTACAGATAAAAAAAAATGAACACGGATAAGTAAATTTCCCAGGGCCAAACAACTAATTAGTGACAGTAGTGAGATTTGATCTTAGGTCTATTGCCTCAGTGTGATCATGAAATTACTTATTTGTATTTGCTGACTTATTATTTGCAAAAAAGGAATGAAAATATAGAACTGGGTTGTCATCCTCAAGACATATGGAAATTCCTAGCTCAGTGTTCAGCCCATATTAAGAACTCAATAAACATGGCTGGATCTGAATACGGATAGTTCAAGCTTGCCTTGTAAAAAAACTGAGACAAATTCTTTTTATCTATTGAGAGATTGTGCTCTTTTTACTCTCTCCCTAACAAAATCTGCTCTCAGGCAAGGATAAATGCTGTGGGTAAGGAATCCTCAACCTGTCATCACTCACACAGACACAGGGATTTTGCTAAGGGGCAAAAATAAGCTCTATTGATGTAATTTCTAGTTTATGTGAACTGGTGAAGTAACATTTTGGGAGACTGGGAAGAGAGCCTCGTGTGTTTCTAAAATAATTACTAGCAGTCCAAAAACAATTATAGATCTCTAAAAGATGGCTCATAGTTAAGAGATTCTTGGGCTGGCTCAATTTCTGAAGACAGCTGCAGCCTCCAGTCTGGGATCCGCTGAAGCTCCCAACAAGGTGTATATCGAGATAGGTAGGGTTCAAGGCAGAGTGTGTGGCATATATTACAATATGGATGTTGAAAAGTGACACCACAAATCACCCTTGTCGTTTTCCTCTTCCATCCTTCAGAGGCAAACGTATTAAAGACACAGAAAGGGAAGATGAAGTAAGCCCCAGTGGAGAGGCTTAGGCTGTAGCTGAGAGTATAAAAGGTAGCCCAAAATTTCTCAGGTGCATATTCTTTCTCCTCCCTGTGCATGAAAAAAAACAAGCTCTCAGGGCCGGCCGAGTGGCTCAGTTGGTTATGAGCTCGCTCAAGAGTTTGAGCTCTGAGCAACAGCGGTTCAATGCCCGGCCTAGCTGAGCAGCCGCTGAGCTGCCAATTGGTAGCAGGATGGCTCAGCTAAAAAAACCAAACAAACAAAAAAAACAAACAAGCTCTCCATCCCCTTCAACTCCCACTCCCCCTGGGTCTCTTACCCTCCCGCCACCCCTTCCCTCCCCTGCGCTCGCCAGGGACCTCCTCACTCCTTAGTCCAGGGCTTCGCCGCCAGGATTTCTTGCTGCTGTTTCTTGTCGTATTTATAGATTTCATCGATACTCTGGGCTTCTTGCATGTTGTTGGCCAATTCCCAGGTTTTCTGGGCCATACCACTCCCGGACGCTGCCATCGCCGAGGAACCGGAGAAGTGGTCGCCTCCACAACCAAGACGCAACTTTATCTTGCTAGATTTCTGGGTGTGGGCTTCGGACCCTCCCCACCAAAGATGCAAACCCGCACTAGCCAGCCGAGGCAGCCATGACACCTAGAACCGGAAGTGAAGTTGGTCCAGACCATTCGGGGATGGAGGGGGCCCTTCGGAGAAGCGACGTTCTAAACAGCAGTTACATAACAATTAGAGACAGAGGAATCTTCTTGCGGCTTAAATGAGAACATATTATCTTGGAAAATTATATGTGTGAATTACGGCAAACTCAACGCTTGGATATGAGAATGGTATAGCCTTCCGCACCGGAAGAAGGGCATGTAACGGTATGCCAGAAACTGCAGTTGGCCTTCTTTGTTCGTACTGCGCAGGCTCAGTCTTCGCCATATTAAAAATGTGTAGATCCTTAAGCGGGGATTGGGGGAAAACCTGTTTTTATGTGGGAGTAGGTACCTTTAATGAAGTAGTTTATTGAAAGACTGAAAAATAAGGATGTCCTTGGGAAAACTGAGATATAAGTAGTTCTGGATGCTGGGTGAGAAAGAAACATGGCATCCTAATTTACTTACAGACGAATCACTGGATGCCTACAATCATGCCTTTTGGCGTGTTTGTAAAAATTAACGTCAACGTGACTTACTGGTGTTATGAAAATGTCTAGTACCCAGCTCTTATAGTTTACATTTTAATCTTCAGCATTGCTCCGTAGAAACCACCCGAGGTCGAATTAATCTCAACATCTTATTTTTTTCCCCCCAACAATTAATACTCTGTTTAATTATTTGCTTGTTTTACGTTTTTTTCTTTCCCCTCCCCCTGTCCCCCCCACAGCGCACTGGATTCTAAGTTCTAATAAAACACAGGGACCATGTCCGTGTTTCTTGTTTTATCCCTAACACCGAGCATAGATGTTCAACGCTTTTTTTCTTTTGCTGGGGGTGGGGGTCGGGAAAAGGGAGATGGGAGAAGAGCATCATAGCTCTACTCTTCCGCTTCAACTTTCTTTAGTCACCCTTGAAATTTTGCATATATGATCAGCATTGCCCCAAATGCTACCCCCGCCCCGATTTTTCTGCCTGGGAACTCCTATTAGTCTTTAAAAACAGCTCAGAGATCTCGACCATTTAATTTTTCTCCTCTCTCCAGTTATCATTCTTTCTAAGGTATCTCTAAGAGTCTGTTGGTGCTTCTTTAACTTACATCGCATTGTAATATATTGTTTACTCCAAAGTTTTTCTTTACACTGTAAGTTTCAGAGTGTAGGACACTCCAATTCCAGTACAGTGTGTGGCACCGTATTATAGAATCCACATCCCTGCCAGCTGTTTTGATAAATTGATTTCGAGTTGAGGAAAATTTGTCTTTAAAACTCTCTTAGGAAGGAATTTAGGATAGAGGACTCTTAGTTCTACTTTACATGGAGATTTCTTTTCTAGTGGTAGCACAGGGCCACTCAGTATTGGGGTAGAACTGAATATATTGAAGTTGGTAGTAAAAGCCCAGGGCAAAACGTTGATCAGAGGAGTGAGACCCTGGAGAGGTATGCCAACAGTTTTTCTCTCATGGCCACCCCTCCTTTTTCTTCTTTCCAGACCCTGATCCCAGGCCGGCTGGGACTCGGAGGGTTTGGAGCGGCTGGAATCAATTTAGCTCGGTTAATGGTTGCCATCATTTAACAGCCCCCAGGCGGGACAGGTGAACCAGGCGGGGGCGTGCCCAGCCTGGGTGCCCTGCGAGCGGCCGGGCGACTGTGCGACCTCCGGGGCTGCAGGGGGCGCCTCCGCCGCGCGGCCTTCCCCCGAGGCCCGGTAGGGGCGGGGCCGCGCTCGGCCGTTGGCTGAGGGAGGGCGGAGGGCTCGGCTTAAGAGGCGGAGCCCGCGCCAGGCGGCCGCCGCCACCACTTGGGATCGCGAAGATCGTCGCTAGAGCGCTGTGCGTCTCCCAGGACGCGAGCCCACTCTCCCGAGTAAGCGTTCGCTGGCCGCGGGTGGGGAGCCGGCCTGGCGGGGTGTGGCGGGAGGGGGTGTCCCGGGCCGGGGGTGGGGTACGTCGTGCCTAGGGGCGGAGGTCTCGTGGCGGCCGGGCTGACGGCGGCGGCCGGGTTACGGGGGTTCCCTGTGGGGGGAGCTCTCTTGGCTGCCGGACTCGGGGGGGTTGTCGGAGTTACGGGTCGTGGTTGGGGTGTTGTGGCAGCTGGGCCGGGGGCAGTGTCCGGGGTCCGGGTGACGGTCTCGCAGCAGCCCGGCTTGGGGCAGTGCCTGGTTCCCGGGGGCGGGGGTTCCCTGTGGGTGGGGGTCTCGCGGCTGCGGGGCAGGCCCGGGGGCGGTGCCCTGGTTACGCGGTCTCGACTCCCAGGGCCGCAGCCGCCTCGAGTGCCGTAGAGACCAGGTTGGTTGCCTGACAACGCGTTGACGCTTTCTAGGGAGGCCGCCACCCACAGCGTCCGGAGACTAGCTGTGTCTTCAGCCGGGCTCCGCTGTTACACTAAAGCCTTCCGAGCGTCTTTCCTCTTACTACGTGCTGGTTCATGGTTAACGTTTATTGAGTGCATGTGTGCCAGGCGCGGATCCCGGCGCTTTGCTTAGCGTGTAAAATTGATTTAATCACCCAGCCCTGGTGAGCTCTGTGCCGTTATCCTGGCTCCACCTGGCTTGTTGAGCTTGAACCGCTTGTAATTGCCTTGATTTGGGGATTGTTATCTGGGATTTGAATTCAGTTTTCAGTGTTAGCCATGGGTGTCATCTTTCGGGAGAGAGTGGCTCTCAAGATTATAGGGTTAAGATACTTAGTTTGGATTTCCGGGAAGACAAAATTCTAAAGTAAACCACCACCCAGCTTACAAACACCTCGGAAAATGCAAGAGCCTACCAGCAACCAAACATGAGTTTGTAAAAAGACAGTTATCCTCAGAGAGGTTCTATTTTAAGTGAAAGAATGGCTTCTCATGTTGACAAGCGAAAAGGAATCCCATGGCAACCAGTAAGATGCTGATTTGTTTTCTTGTATGTCATTCTTCTCCCTAGGAGGACACTGTTTTTTCTGGTGGTTAAATATCTGCTGAAATGCTTACCAGGGATGAAATTTGGGGTCTCCTACAGTACAGATGACCTAGAAGGTGGTTTTAGATAGGGTGATTTGAAACAGGATGCTTTCAGTACAGTTTTTCTTAAGTGAAGCTTTGAGACAAATGGAATTTAACTGTTGCAAACTTTGAGCAGATTCCAGATTACCTTTTTTAACATCATTCTGACTTACGTTCTAATTGCTTTCCTGAGTGGGAGACAAAGGTGTTTGAGCAAGTGTTGTGGCAATTTTGCATTACCCAAAGGCTATCTAATTTATGTTACTGTCTTTGGTCACCATTTATGATGTGTTCTTAACAGGTGCTAACAGACTTAATCGTGCTTTTTTATACAGGCATACCTGGGAGATATTGAGGGTTCAGTTCCAGACCACCTCAGTAAAGCCAGTTGTAATCTTTTTGCTGGTGGAGGGCCTTGCCTTCAATTTGTTAAAAATGCAACATCTGTGAAGTGCAGTACAGCAAAGTGTAACAAAACGAGGTATGTCTGTATTCACACTTGCTGTATCCTGACTCCCAACCTCCCTCTTGCCCCCAGCAACATGGTATTTACTTGTAAGCAAGTTTTAGGGAGAGTTGTCAACATTTGGGTGTGCCCATGGAAATAAGTTGCTCATGTGGCTGTCATCTGCCAGGTGAGCACCTTATATTCTGTAGAAAGATCTCTGGATGGGTGGGAAATGAGACACATTGCCCTGGTTCACTTCATCCCGCCCTCTTTCTTCTAAGGCTCTTTCGCAGGCTCCTCCTGGCACTGCACCCCCATATGTTATCACTCCCTGCCATTCTGTCATCCTGCTCTCCCATACTAGGCTCTCTTTTCTAGGCAACCTCTTTTCTTATAGCTTTAATGATTAAAAACTGCTAAATCTTTTTTTCTAGCCTGGGCTCTGTTCTGAATTCCAGACATATTTAAGATTGTTTTCTTGATACCTCCCCTGGATCTTTCTAGGTACCTCACCTTGAATTCCTAAGCTCCCGTCGGGCTAGACTGTGAGCCACTGTGACAGGGGTATTATCATGTCCAAATTCAAGGGCAAGGATCATCTTCTACTTTTTACTTCCCTAGCATCTAGAACAAACCCTTGCTTTTAGGAGGGAGTTACAGTAATACCTTGGTTTGCGAGCATAATTCATTCCAGAAACAACTCGTATTGCAAGACATCACTTGATTACCATGTTAAAATGTATTAGAAATGTTTGCTTATCTTGTGGAACACTCGCAAACCAAGTTACTTGCAATCCAAGGTTTTACTGTATTTTCCATTGCTCATACTTCGTAGTGGAGGGCGCATTTGCACTTCACTCAGGAGGGGAAAAGGATGGCAGCAACATTTTCCCCTTTCTTTGAGTTTGACGAAATTGGGAGAAGCATTCAGGCTTACTCAGTTGTTTCTGGGTCCTCTCTGCTGTTTAGATTTGCTTAAACTTAGCAGAATGAGTCTGTTCTGGCCTGCTTATATTTCTAGCTGTATGATAAGCATGAAAGGCCTAAGTTTAAGATTTAGAGATGTTGGTTTGGATTATGATAAGCAAGTATCTATTGGTGATTTAAATCCCAGTGTACTTTGGAGGCTTTTTTTTTTTAAAAAGGTGAGTACTGATGTATACAAAAACTAAGAAAATGCAACAAGAATTAATGAAACAGCAGTGATTTATTGATTTCTGTGTCAGGTGGTCCATACATTTTATATGCATCGTTTCATTTTTTTCTTGACTACTCTGGAGTAGATATTTCTGTTTAACAGATGAAGAAACTGAGGGGTAGAGAGGTTAAGGAACATACTTGAGGTCAAGTCCACATATAGTCAATCAGTGATGGAACTGGGTTTTAAAGTCAGGTCTTTCAATTCAACTGTTTTCTTGAAAACTGTTTATCATCTACATTCCATGTACACAACTCCTGGGAAAAACAAACAAACCCTGGTAATACCTTGAACAAAGTTGTAATTTTACATCGTAGAGTGAAGGAAGATGAAAAATCCCATTTAGGTTTCTTTCAGCTGATGGTTTTTGGACCTTAATCTTTAAATTACAAGTATTCTTCCTCTATTTTGTACTTAGGCTGTATGCATTAACTCAGTCTCTGATTCACTAAGTAATTCTTGAATAATTTTGTAGTTGAAATTGTTTTATGTAAGTTGTCATGTGCTTTTAAGAGTAAGAAAGAGAAAAGTGGCCCTGACAGCTAGAAGCTGCCAAGGCTTTGGTGTTGCTAGGAGCTGGCCTGAGAAAACTGCTTAGGCTCGGTGTTCTTCTGTGGAAGATAAACAATTGCGCAAAATATCAACATCACACGGGGCTGCTTTGTGTCCATGATGGATCGAGAGAAAAACAATACCACTCCATGTTGTGTCCAAACAGACAAAAGGTGAATGTTGTCCAAGCCACAAAATGCCAAATGTCCCCTCTAGCATGAGTGACTGCTGCCTCCACCAGTTGCAGCTTTAGCCTCAGATTTTTACGAAGATTTTACTAAGACATCCAATCATAGAATTAGCCTCACTTCCTGACAGCATCCAGCCCTGAGCAAAGCTCCACCTCCTCCAAATCACCTAACACAAGCCCAAATCCTATAGTAAGTTTTTTCTAATACCCTCTTACTAAAATACTCCAGAGTTCCCCAAGGTGAGCATCAGGGATGCATCTCCTGATGCAGTTCAGTAATGAACCCAACAAGTTTAACTACAGCAGTGTTCCTGGTGTTTTTTGTCTGGAGGGCATTGCCAGGAGAAAGCTTGGTAGTATCTTTGACTCTTCAGTTTAATAGTAGAGATATGTTCTAATCAGATTAGATAGTTGAACAAAATTAGAAATGATTAAACATAAATTTATATCTGATAAATCTCATGGTTTAGCTTTGGCATATGTTAACTCACTACCATTGTTTAAAAATGTGTTTTATTACTATGGTTTCTGTTGTGTAAAATCAGTTATAGAATTTCTAATTGATGCTAAATTATTGTAGTAAAGGGAAATTTATCCATAAATTCAAGAGGAGATATCTCTCAAAGTCTGATTAAACAGCTAAATGAACATGTTAAATTGATAATTGTTAACAGAATTATGTGGAGGCCTTAGTTCAGAATGAAAGAGACTTGTTACTTTTTTTTTTAAGATTAATGACATTTCTGCTTAAATTCTGTATAAAATCCTATAGAAAAATATATGTGTTATTTATATTATCACAGCATTATCTTTTATTTCTATCAGACATAAAATAATTAGGAAAATTAGGGGATTTTAATAATTTTTTTTTAAAGCATGAAAACGATTGTTTGCTGTTGAGCTGTTTTTAATTTTCATTAGGAAAAATCTTTTGAGACAAATAGCAAATTAAAAATGTCTAACCATACTAACTTTTGTTGGTTTGGAATATATTTTACTAAAGCCATAGTTTAAAATAAGTGTTCTTTTTGGAAGTAAATACAATAGAATGAAGTTTATATTATGTACCACTTAACTGATATAAGTTTCAACATATTTCTTTTAGCTTTCTTTTCTACAGTTTTACAAATTATCATTATTCCACAAACATTACATTCAGTGGATTTTAAAAATTTAACTCTGTTGCTTTTGATAATGCTGATTGGTTCTTTCTCGTATCTCTTTTTCTCCACAAATTATGTCGCCTTGGTTTTCTTTATATCCTTCTTTTAATTACTCCTCCTTTGTATTTTTTCTAGCTTCTGTTCTTCAGTCATCTCCTCAAGTGAACATTGCCCAGCATTTAAGTTTGGGTCATTTCTTTTCCCCCCTTCTGTGCTTATTTACCACAGATTCAACTATTATCTTTCA